TTTTATTTCAATAAATTAAATAGTTACATGTGAAATCATATCAATAATGATGTTTAGAATCATCTTTGAATGTCATCAACATAATTATAATTTTCATATTGGAACAAAAAAGAAAAATAGTGCAACATTCTATCACCATGCATTTTGTGGTTGTTATTTTGATATTGAATAAGTTTGATTTTTCATTGTATTAATTTCTTTAAATATGTTTCATCTTTTAGTATTGTTAAAGTCATATAGTTCTTTTTTTAAATCAATTAACACAAGTCTCACGTAAAATTTACTTGATATGAATTCGGCTTTTTTTCATCTTTTGACGTTAATATTATCGTTTACTTTTGCTAGATCAATTAAATCAAGTTTGATGTATAACTTTTGCAATATTATTTCACACACTCATCATACATGTAACATATTACTAAATAGTATTATGTTATATTTATGATGAATCTATGAATGAACGTCTTTCGCTTTTGGAAAAATCATTTTCTTTTGTCGTACAAACCAGGACAAGTTTAATGTATAATAATTTTCATGTTATTTCACATAATGAGTCTTTATTATTTCACATAAAAATATTTACTCTGATTAATAGCACAAATAGGCAAATTTCGAATATGATGTAAATCTTCTTTCTTAATTAGTGATGGATATGTTAGCATTTTTAGAGATTACTTGCACGGATCAAGGCAAGAAAGTTTTTTTTAATTAAAAAAATATCTCATATGTTAGATATTACAGTCACTGCTCATACTTTTACATCCATCATCTTTGAAGATTTTATCTTATGACTAGTTACATCTTTGCAATTAATGTTCAAATGATCTCCCATGCTTAAGGTACTATCTGATTTTTCTATTTCATTTCTTGTTTACTAAATAAATTTTTAAGCAGTTCCAGTTTTTTGATAGAATTATATCTTCAATCAAGACAGTGACAATTTTTTAAAAAAACTTGTATTCATCTCTTGCTTATAACTATCATCTATGTCATTAAGCTGAAATCTAATAGATTTTCAAAAATATTTTATGTAAAAATGGTGAATTAGCATACTATACATTAGTATCTGTAATGAAATTTGAAATAGTACATTTCAATCAAGTCCAATATCATAAATGAAGATGTTTCAAATATACCATTGTTTAATTTATAACTTTCAATCTATGACCATTGAATATGAAAAATAAAAAAATGATTATTTTACATCAAGATTATATAGATTTCTACAATAACTTAAAGTTTTGTATTTCAATCTATGCTTGAATTATTTTTATTGATTCCATTCAGTATTATTATTTTTTATTTCGGGTTAATTTTTTAATTAAAAAAAACTTGTTCAATACCACATTCAATCTTTTCCACATAATCTAAATTAGGTGTGAAGGTTCAATTACTGAATGCATTTTTACAAAATCAATCTAGCTTTAAATAATTTTAAAAGACATGTAACAAAAAACCTTTATATTTGAATACAATTTTTACAAGTTGACTACAGCTATTATGTGGACTAAAAAAATATAAAATTTGAAATTCTGTAATCATTTTAAGGATTAAATATTATAATTAAATAAATTATCATCATAAATTGACATTTAAAATATATAATATAATTCGATAATTAAAAATTCAATTGATTTTTTGAATTTCAAAAAAAATTCGTTTTTAAAATAGAATTTTTTTGTTAAAATAAAATAATTAGATTTTAAATTTTAAATTTTAAATTTCAAGTATTATAAAAATAGTCATGAACAAAAAAATGGATTTTTGAAGAAGCAAAATAATATGTATTGGGTTGCTAGAAAGATATTCACTTTTTTCATTTTCTTTTAGATTCATAAAACATATATTCTAAATTTACTAAAATTCAGTTTTAACACTTTATTATTAATTAAATAAATCGATTTAAAATCATGAACGTTTTGAGGCTGATGAAGTGAAAGCAGTAGACTACATCTTGAACTCTTGATTTGGATTTTAAATTGATTCAATTTAAATGGTTGTGTAGTCATTGATGCACTACCTTGATTGAGTAAAATATTTCAATCTTTTTGTAGAATTGCTAAGAAAGATGCATAAGAACCATGTGACACTTCAAATAATTTTTTTAGCTTCAAAATAAAGTAAAAATACAATTATTAACGTAAAATCAATTATCAAATGTATAGATCAAATAGCAATAAAGCATCCATCATAAAAATAATTTTTGTTTTAGTTCTAAAATACAATGAAAAAAATTTACTTTTTTTAGCTTCATATTGTAATCAAGTGTTATATTATTGATGCAAAATCATCTAAAATCATAGTTAAATTGGTCAAAATGTAGATTTTTGCAATCAAATAATGATCAAAGACACAATACTTGTGATTTTAAATTTTATTGTTTAAATAATATTTATTATTTGTCATCTTATTATGATATATATTTCACAACAAAATGACGTTAGTGGAAAAATATGTAAAGACAAAATTCTGTTTGATAATTTTTATTTTTTTATACAATCAATTGCATGACATTGTTTGACTGAATTACTTGAGTTGAGATCAAAACATTTACTTATTATAATTGAGTAGAATTATTTGAGTTGAGGTATAAAAATTCTTTTTATTATAATTGCATAAAAATCAATGACTGTAATTCATTACTTTCATATCCAAGAAGAGCTAATTGTGAATTTATAACACAACAAATCAAGAATAAATGTCAATTTGAAGATGAAACATAAACACTTAAGATGAGGTCATCATAAGTTTTATACTTTTTTATATAGATCTTACTAATAAACATAAGGAGATATAATTTAAGCTTTTTCATCTATTTCACTTCTAGTGGATTAATCAGATTGATTTATTTGAGTTGAGATAGGAACATCTAGTAGATTATAATTGCTTAGGAGTCATTGTCCGCAAAGCAATTTAAAACACATTGTAGGGAAAAGTTTAAGTAGGAAAAGTTATGTGCCATGCCTACTATGTTTCCAATGTAAAAAGCTTGAGCTAAATTTGTATTAGTAACATCAAGTGTTTTAGTCAAAAATTTGATGACAACACTCTTTAACTCTTCATTCTAAGATTTAGGTATAGTAGAAATACTCACATTCTTCTACGATCAAATTGATTTTTCTTTTCAATCTCTTGCTCTTGACCGTAAGAGACATGAGCAAATTTGGTAGCTCCAACATAAGACTTCATTTTCAGCTCTATATTTTCAACTACTTCATGCAATCCAGGAGTAATAAAAGTTGAAGCTTGAGAACCAACTTTCTTTTGAATGTACTCAACAGATTAGCAAATATCAAGCATGATTTTCTCAAAAATTTTGTGTGATAACTTCAACTCTAGAATATGATCATGTGTAGCAATCAAGGCATTATATTGTACCTTGAATTCTTGGTGGAGCACTTTCAATTCATCCAAAACCGTTTGCAGAAGACCGTGTCCAAGTCCAAGCTTCCACAAAGTTTCAGATCCAATGCCAATCCGAGCTTGAAGAAATAGACCCCGTAAGAAATCGACATTCCTCGTCTGAAATCTTGAAACTCAAAAGTCAATGCACTCTGTTTTCTAAACTCCGTTGAAAGTGAAATTTGCACGCTCCTGCGCTGTGTCTAACTCCACACTCTTATCAAAGCTCAGACCTCGTTCACATTCCAGCTCAAAGATTCGGACTTTGCAAGATTTGGCACTCCACTCTCAAAAACTCAAAACTCAAAAGTGACTCGATTTTGTTCTTTAAATTACCTTAAGTTTGAAATTTTACAGGGTTTAAATTTATTGTAAATCAGGGGTAAATATTATTTTCAATATTCAATTTCTTCCCAATGTTCTTGCTTGAACTCATGATAATCATCCGTCAACGTATCTTTAAAATGTTGAAATAAATCTTTACTAGCCATGAAAGAACTAAACAATGTGGAGGTGCGCATTTGTTGCAAATTGCGTTATTAGTCGAACTGTTGATAAAGTAATTCAACTTGATGTCGTAAATTACAACAAAATTACATATAGTGAGCTTTGTGGTCTCATAGAGAACATCCATGTCCCACAAAAATGATGCAAACACACTTGAAGAGTGTGTTCTAATCATTTTGTATCATCAAGCTCCAATAACACTTCTGCTCTTGTTTCATTCAAAAATTTGAACTGCACATTTGATCAAAATAGAAATGCAAAAAATATCATATTGTCAAGAAAAAAATTAGACTAGTTTATATTTTTACATCCCTCGCATAACATTCACTTTATGGAGTCATTCAATATCTTGCAATCATCGGATCAAAAGTAACATGGGTTCAAAATTTATCAAAATACTTATGATTCTCCAAGAATTCACTCTTTATCTCCTTAAAATCCACTTTGAGTGTTTTGAATAATTATTTACACTCTAAAAATTCTGCTATGACATAATTTTCATCAGTATCATATAAAAAATCAGATGGCAGTAGAGCCAAATCCACTTTGTGACTCAAAATTCTATATTCCTTCACTAGCTATTTTCCATATTATAGACAATCAACTTCAACAACTGAATCCCTTAGAGACTTAATTCGAACTCTACCTCCTAGTTATACTAACATCTTTATCCAGATTATCGAAACATCGGTGCGAAAGGGGCTAACTGCACAATACTGCCTAACCGCTTTAAATCATGCTACAATAAGGTAGGTAACATTTACATAAATAAGGAGTGAAATATAATCTGATGCTATATAGTGAATTATATTGTAATATTGAACAATTAAATCTCATTCTATGCAAACTCGCAATGTTCACTTGAACATTTTACGGTTGGGATGTTAGATAGATGACGTAGAGGAGATACCGGAATGTACTTGGAGAAGATGCTTCAAGTACAATCTGTGAGCTTCTGTGAAAAAAGAATTGAAACGAAAGGCGGCTGAGGTGGAACACGGTCAGGGTACGAGAGTGCTGAGCTGGCAGGAACAGCCGCCAGCCATTGGAGAGCAGCATATCCAAAATCTCGCACCGTCCGCCTTCTACTCGTCGCTAGTCGCGGTTTTCGTCGCCTTTCGTGTTCGAATGAATTTCCTTCTGAATGTTGCATCCTATCTTGTGCCCATGACTGTCATCTCCATTGCTACGGACTGTTGACCGACTTTCAGATCAGACGAGGGGGATTTTCTTCCCGTGCACCCTTTCGGCCGAAGCCATCCTGCCAGCTCCGTTTGGTGAACATTCCTTCTCCCGTTCTCTAGCAGCAGCTGCAGGAGCCGTATCAGCTCGAGCCCAAGCGGTGGACGAAGGAAGTCTGCTCGAGACTAGATTAGAGCGCAATGATGGCGACCACCGTAGGAGTGGGGTCATTGCATCCCGTTGCGGCCTTTAGAGGAGTGCAGAGCGCAAATGGAACCCAGGGGACTTCGTATTCGACGTCCCTGGGAAGCTCTAGAAGTGGGTTCCGTGGCGGGTCTGTGTCTGCCTCGCCGCCCTCGCTGCAGCAGACTCGAGCTCCCGTGCAGGTCGGTCAATTTTTATGCTTTTCTTTTCCATGTCAGTTGATTTTTTTTTCATTATTCGTGCTCACGGACATTGAATGTGCTGCGAAGTACTGTTCTTAAGTGAATCTGCATACTTTCGAAGTTATTGATGTAGGCATATGCAATAAAAATCTCGCCGATATTCTTGAATCTTTAACTTGTGATTGATTTTTTAATCCCCCAATATCTGAGGTATTCAGAGTAGGACCTTGTATTTCTCTTCTTTGTCGATCGTCTTTTCCCATACTTATTCCAGTCCGAATGTTTGAAACGTACTCTTTTTGTAAGTGTAAATCTCGTCAAATCCAGGCATAGAAATCCGGTAGACAGATCGGTCTAATCGGAGTTTTCTCTCTGTTGTATCGAGAATTCCGCGATTATTTTCTGTATTTCTTCTTTGGTGCTTCTGAATATTGAAATCATTGTTTTTTGTGCAGAAACAGATCATTCGTGCGATGGCTTCTGATCTGGCAGCACAGATGAAGGAAATGGCAGCCGCTGAGAAGAGATGGGAGTCACAGGTAATAATCTTTAAGAGAGTTGTTTCAGTAGAATACGCTCTGCACACACTTTGAATGGTTTTGACATTCTTTAGCTAGACATGTATATTACCAATGCTGATGCATATCGGATTTCTGTGGGGTGTAGGTTAAAGAAGGGAAAGTTAAATCTCTGTCAGCAAAAGAGGCTGGATATGCCGTGGATTTGTCTGGCTACACCCTTCTGGATGTACGACCATCTTCAGAGAGGAACAAGGTGAGCCGGCACAGCCATGGCGATGTGTTATACCTTCTGATCACTGTCATTTTGCCTTTCCTTGTGGACCCTTGCTAAGTTTACTGCTTGATCTTGTCAACTCGGCGAAACCAGCCTGGTTTCACCCAGTCCATGATCTTTTTCTGGGTGGAGAGCATTCGGTATTTTAACTGGACAGTCCCCTACATCAGGTCAACAATCAATCATATATTTTCTTAAACCCCATGGTCGTTACATCATAACTTCCTTACCTCCAGGACTTCCACGGCATGACTTTCTATACTCATTCACTTGCATTTGGTGAGGCGTATCTCAGTTCTGTGATTGATTGTACACGTGATTAGGTGATCAAAAGTTCTTGTGACAGACTTGGGTATATATTCGACAAATAAGTATACAGTTCAATAACACCGAACACTAGTTAGGCTTCGGAAGTCAGTATTCTGGAGATTTGAGATCCACAAAATGTAATAATGTAAACCAATTTTAAACTTTGCTATGTTGGTTTTTTTATCCCTACAGGCTTACGTGAAGAACTCTGTTTGGATCCCAATTTTTGATATCAATAAGAGTTTGGATCCAGGAACGATCTTGAGTAAAGTTTCTAACTTCGCCATGGGTAAGTAGTCTATTTCCATGTCCAGTTCTCCAATTCTGCCAATAATCCTTAAATGTCATTGCCTTGAATATCCTCGTCTTTCTAGTTCTTCTAAAGTGGCAGTAAACTTGATTTAGCGTCCATAGTTTTGCAGATATGATGTTGCTTATAACAATTTGAGTTTCGGCTGCTTATGTATGCAGGGGGCTGGTGGAGCGGTTCGCCTCTCATGAAGTATAACGAGTAGGTTTTTCCCTATTAGTCCTTGTCAATTATACTTTGGTTCTAATATGAAGGATACTTTGCTTCGTACGCGACTTTATGCTCAGTACAGCTTTATGTTAATGCTCTAGTTCTAATTCAGTGTCTCCTGTGCAGACGGTTTATGCCCGATGTTGTAGCTAAAATTCCTAAAAGTGCGAACGTCATAGTGTCCTGCCAAAAGGGACTGAGGTACCTCCCTTATTTCGCTGCTGATATAACTTGATCGCATGAAGTCTTTGTAACGTGTCTGTTGGTTATGTCCTTAGGTCTCTGTGCTGCTGATCGTATCTCTGTAATGTCAAAGTCATGAGTGCGATTCATTCACTGTCGATTTTTAGCCAACTTCTGAAATCTGACTTGCGGAAATTGCTGTTTGGCACAGATCTCTAGCAGCTTGTGAGCAACTCTACAAGGCTGGATATAGAAACTTGTTCTGGCTTAATGGAGGTTTTGACGCTGCTCAAGAAGGGGTAAGATCATCCCTCGCTTTTAGTCTTGGGACTGAGCTCTGTTGTTTCTTGTGTGCAATCTATTTGTAACAAGCTGTTGAGGAACTCACGTGAGGAAACTTAATTCTTTGTTCATTCTATGTTTGATGTTTCTTATAGGCCGGATCTTAAAATCTGGCATCATTCTGATGAGCCATCATTACGAAGAATTCAAATAATTCATGATTGTTAGTAGCTATAGCATTCACAGGCCTTGCTTCGCAGGTCGCTCAATGTTGTTGCTTTTTCAACTATAAACACAATCACTTGGTGAGGTCTCTTATAACAAAGGAGTGGTTTCGAAGTCACGATAACTTCTGAGAAGGCGCCGCTGAGACTGAACTGTAGCTTCTGGATTAAGAGCCGAACGTTCTAACCACTAGTCTACCAGGCCACTATAGTTATCATATATGAAATGTTCATAACGAGATGAACATCCGGTATTTTTCTGCCATCTGAGTGACTCTATTTCTCTCAAGGAAGAGACTCAGTGCCACATTTTCGATGTGCAGGATCTAGAAAGGGAGGGACCTGAGCCTTTCAAATTTGCCGGACTTGGTGGAGTCTCAGAGTTTCTGGGGTGAGCTCTTTCGCTTCTCATGGTTTAAAGTTTATTCGAGATCCTGTAATCACTCCATCGGTGTCATCTGTGTGATTTGATAATCGTATCTTCTACCCCTTATCATTGCTTTTTCTTCTTCAGCTGGACTGATGTTCAACGAGAAGCTGTCTCCAAGGAGGGAATCGGCTACCGGGCAATGCTTTTTGCCAGACTGGTGAGACATGATTCTAGCCTAAGTTCTTTGTGCCCTTTTAGTGTCGCTTTCAAGAGTAGAGCCGAGTATTGTGTAATGTGAGTAGAGAATCGGAAGAGAAACCGCAAGTGGCCACTTCCTCAATTGCTTTGAATGTTATGCTGAGCTGAGCAATAGCCCAGAACAGCAAAAATGAGAAATACAGATAGATGTATGTACACAGAGAGCAATGTTTGCTTTTTAGTGTTCTTCCCATACTCCTCTTGATATCTCTGAACATATTTTTATTAGTTATGTAAGACATTCTGTACCAATCTAGCCGGCTAAGGCATGACGATAAGAGCGTGCCGACATAAATGTCTGTCACTTCCGTGAAATTCTTGCGGAGATTTCTCATGAGGAGAAGATTGTGCTGCAGAGTTTAGATGTTTAACCGTCCAGGAATAGTTGGACCTCTCACTATCTCAAGTACTTACTGCCCATGATTGCTGCCCGCAGATGTCCGTGGTGCTGGCAGCGGATTTGCTGTTCGTCGGTGGTCAGCAGTTAATGAGTTACCTCCAGGAGATGCGACACTGATCAATCTACGTCCTCTCACCAAAACCTTAGCGAGATTGCCGAATAGAGGGTTTCATACCATTAGGCATCTACGTCCATGCGTAAGTGGACTTTCGCACTTTCAGCCGGAGCATTGTTGATAATTTACACGGCAGCCACGTCCTTGAGCTTACGGGGTAACAAGTGGACCAGTTGTCTTGCGTTGCACTTCTTCGAGAGTCAAAAGTAGCCAAGAAGCACCACCACAGCAAAGACTACCGATCGTAGGAAGGTCATACTCCTCGTGGCTAAACCTGTACTATGGATGTAAAAATCTGGAAGCTAAACGTACATACCAATGGGCTTGTCTATTGACAAACACCAACACAAAACATTCTGGCCCTCTGTCATCCTCCATAGTGTCTTTGAACGCGAAACTGTACGTCAGAGTCACGAGTACGTATCTGCAGTTCTGAAGTCTGAAGTTATCTCTAGAGGGGAGCTCCCTGTCATGGAAAAGTTGCAAAGTAGGAACAGGAAAGTGATTTTTACACGGAAGTGTGCCTTGAACACTTCATCTTTACTGTGATGACATCTGGCCGATCCCCTTTACAGGAATATGCCGGGCAGGATATACGCAGACCACACACGTAACTCCTTCGCTTGGCCACATTGTCAAATCTTTGGATAAATTCAGTGACCGACCGAAGGAGATGAGTGATAGCCTGGAAGGACATCAATAGGAAGACTTCGAAGTGAAACAGTAACTTAACGACCGTACACACTTCATTGATGACCAAACGCATGTAATACACACTATTGGTGACGGACTTTACGAGAGCTCAGATCAATGGAAATTGGTCGAGTAAACACCGTCTCTCGACAGTGTCATCCCTCCCGCACCTCACGGAAGGCTACAGGCAGAGTGACGAACAAACGGTAGTTCGGCTTTGGACTACGAACCGAAGATGCCCTCTACAGGATAGGACGGCCGATGCTATCTGACATTCATCTGGCCTTCTTCTAAATCTGAACGGTCTAGATTTTAGCTCAGGTAAGCAAGCTCGGAGCAGTAGCCACACTAAACCCTGTCGATGTAGGTGTAATACAATCACTAGGTGTGATTGTCGCTCACGAAGCATCTTTGTTCAAAAGCATTATTCTTGAATCAAAATATTAACCCAACGATCAACGTCTGACCATGAGGCTGGACGAAGTGAACACACTTGCGCCACAGAACAAAAAGTGGAAACACCATAATGATTGCGCAGACGAGTTTGTTTATACATGCTTGCGTATTTCAGTTTGATTATAGACAAGAGAGAGGCAAGAAATTTGGACATTTTAGATGCAATGACTTCGGACATCGTTATGCTCTGTCCAACCCTAGTTTCAGCCGATTGTACTTTCTAAAGCAAGGAAGGAACCTCTGAACTTGTCGAACTCATCAAGTAGCCATTCGCTGACGATGCCGTTCTCCAGCATTGAAGTTCATCGGAGGCAGGACGTAGGACCTTCTGTAGTAGGAGTAGAAGTGTTACCAAAATCCAGATGTTGGTTTACTCACTAACATTTCCTCTAGTGGTCGCTGAGGCGGCTCCATGTCAGTAGGCAGCGAAACTCTGCGTTCACGAAAACCATGAAGAACAACCGTGTTTTTTTAACGCTCTCTCCACCCAGCATCACTAATGATCGGTTTCCTACATAATCACGAGAAACTGGAAATGAGATTTTGTTTTGGATGCAGTCTATGTCAATGAACCTAAGGACTCGTCAGGGTTGGAGACTTAAAAAGCGTATACTGTTCAAGCCTTATACTGCTGATTCACCTACCATGGACTGCATGCATGTCCCGTGGATGCAAACCTGAGACTCTAAAACTGCTGGTGTCTTCCTTTGGGTTGAGATTGCGTCTCCAGGACATACCACATCTGTGTTAGAATACGTTAGAATCTAATATTACGGAAGATTTGATGACTCTATTAGTGTTCAAAGGAGTGGACGCAGGTTAATCGGCTATCCATTAGACTACCGTTATAGATGACCGTTGTAGATTACACTATAAGTACAAGCATACTTACTGATTAAAGTAGTCTGATTGAGTTCGAATCAGCGATTCCAACAATCTGACGACCAACGCTTCAAATTAAAGAAAACATTGTCTCCGTGTAAGATATGGAGTTTATTTGTTCTCGGACCGCTGTTTTAAAGGTAGGAGTTCAAGCTCCTATTAACTTATGAGACTATCAAAACACGCCCTCGAGAGTCAACAAGTAGGGTTTTGTAAAAACCGGTGTTTCACAACACGACTCAGAAAGAATCTTTATTCTGAAAAGGCTGACGACCAAGGTGATTCCATTCCCGCCACCAGTCGCCCTTGCCTCTTATCCGTTACATTTTCCGCCGCTGCAGAAACAATCATAGCGAATAACATGGGTGTTTTGTATCTTATGGGGCGAAATTGTTAACAGCTGCACATTGCTCAGTTCATTGGGTGGAATATCAACTTGACTCAAGCCACCGCTTGTGAAACTGGATTGTCTGCTTGTTCATGCCAAGTGGCCATGGGATCTATCACAATTTGTGACTCAAAGATTGATTCTTGGTGCGGGGCCTGCACGTTGTAGCGTATATCGGTCCGAACACGACCTAGTAGCATATTATCTATTTTTTATTCGGTTCATATCTTACCTTTCACGTTTATCAAAAGTCCAACACCAGCTTTTATTAGTTCTAGAGGTCGGTGGACATAGAGGTGAGTGGATATATTTCATTTGATGATCAAAAGATTCGTGAAACAATCAATACTCCATACTTAAACATGACACGTCAAAATCAAACTTCTCGAAACAACGTTATGAATATATATTTATATTCATTATAATATCATCTAAAGTTATACTTAAAAATACCATTTGATGATTAGATTTCTCCTCGAATGAGACATACAAGTATAATCCAATTGACTTTTGTATATTAAGTCAATCTCGCTCTAGGAGTTGAGTTTCCTCACCAAATCAAAATGAAATCATGAACGGTCAAAATATTCACCAAATCAATAGAAAATCTCTGCAGAGTCATGGAAAGTCAAAAATTTCATTTAAATTTCTATTTTTTAAAGTTTGACGGATTAGACTATATTGGATTTTATTTGCCATATCTTATTAAAGTAAACTCTAAGTTTCCTTCAACTTTACAATATCGTGCTAAAGATAGTCATTACAAAGACTCATTGATTCATATATTATCCAACATGCACAAACACAAGTATTTAGTCCTCAAATTATGATAATCTCTCCTCAACGCGCATTCACGTTAAAAAATTTCCATTGCAATAATAAATGACAAGTGAAAAATACCAAGTTGCTATAATGTTTTTTTATTTATCGTAGTTTAGATACTACTTTTTTTTTCTTTCATAACTTAATCTACAACAACGCTCAAGTAATACCATGAAGACGTGAATAATCTTAAAAACACACTATAAACCACGCCATGATTGAAAATCATATACTAAGTCATCTAACCTAATGACACCAATTGTGGCCAAAAACTTGTATGAGATCTTTGATGGCTCGAGAAAATCATCTATGCGATGCAATATACGCGTGAAGAGACATTTTACGATATGGTCAAACTTGAAATCGGGAAATCTGGCTCCTGTCTTCTCTTTGTTAGGTCATCCTTACTCTAGCATCTCTAAGGGAAGTTAGCATGGCATCGAGCATGATCTTGAAAGCTGCTTTGTCAAAGAAGAGCATATGGGGGCTCTAAGGAGAGAGCAATGACAACAACTGAGAGAGTGGAGGAAAGATAATAGAAGAAAAGCTCATGGAAGAAAGGGAAGATGATCTTCGATGCCATACATGTTATGAGCCGTTTGAAGAGCTTTACAACATCTCGCTTGTCAGTCTTTCACAGTATTGGAGACACCGGCAAAGAAGCGTGTATTGAGCAAGAAGTATTGGTGGGTAATTTTGGATTTTTAAGCAATCGAAACATTAAGGGGGTATAGAGCAGCATATCGCCTCGGAAAACGTGGAGCTTGTTGGTGCTGGAAGTACGAGCATGCTGTGGGTAGTTCCTATATTGGAGTTGAATCGTTTTCTGAGGAAATGCATGACATGAAGATTTGGGATGACAAGTTTAACCACAACAATGAAAATTATATTGAAACTAGTAGCGTAATCGTCACAACCATAGATGACTTCAACGGCCAGTCCAAGCAGACCATAAACTATTTTGCGGAGCAGGTGATGAGCACATGATCATTTGGAATTGTTTCACAGGCAAAACGTATAGAGATATGTGAAACAATGAAAATAAAAAATGGTTGCATGACAAGCGATACAAGAATCACAAATAATGTACTTTCTAATTCGTCCTAAAATTGTGGCATTAAAGCATTGCTCTTTTTTCACTACAAGGACAAGGATGAACTATATCTCAAACTCATCAAATCAAATTTATTTCTGATTCTTCAATGCCAAGATTACAAACACACGTTTTTACAAATACATCGTGTGATAAGTTTTGAAACCTCAAGAATATATTATTGTGTGAAATGAAATGAGTGTTTGACAAATTCAAGTTTCCAATTGGAATGAAAAATTGCCATAGAAAGCCTTCAAGTCATTAAGAGCTAAGTTTGCAATGGCTTTACTTGCGATAGTAAGTCATAATAAGTTCAAGCAGAACTTGTACACTCATTTAATCTATAAGTTTCATATCATTGACTAAAAGATAATTAGTAAATACAATCTTATTGTAAATAGCGAATATAAGTACTAGCATTACATGGTACGAAACTCTAATAAGATAAAATATAAAGAGCAAACAAGAAACCAAGATGGGAGTATATCAGGAATAATCACTTCCAAATACCATATCAAAATCTACTATCAAAGTTCAAATTAAACCATTCAGTTCAAAGTGATCATTTACCGACAAAGTTCAAGCCATTCTATGTGAACATAACCTTAAACATAGTAAACATCAGTTTTAGAAGCATTCTGCTCCACCAATGTTCACAAACATCTCTATTTGCCTACCCGTTACCACCATATTAGATGAATAAAGTAAATCTAGTGCAGGACTATCCTATGAAATAATTTATCACAAATAATACATATAACTACAATGGAGGGGCTAGTTATCCCTCACTTAGGGCTAATTAGCGCTCACTCTACTATATTATGAAATAATTTGTTACAAATAAGACATAAAATTACAATTAAGAGGCTTGTTATCTCTCATTTAGGGCTAATTAGCATTCAATTTACTATGCTATGAAATAATTTGTCACAAATAAAATGGCCCTCACTGTACTAGACGTAGTTCTCTTATTGGTTGATGCAGTCTAGTAGTAGCCGCAAGGTGGTATGGATG